TAAGCATTACCTAGCAACAACTAAAACATCAGTGGGTTATCAACTTTGTTCTCATCCTAAATCCAAAACACAGCATTGTACCAGCTACTAGGAAGGAAATTAACTCTATCCCTGCCAAAACCAGGACATTGACTCTCCTGGTTAAAGTAGGTCTCACTGTGGACGCCCATTCTCACTCACATTCCTCTCTTAATTGGGCTGGTTGGTTGTGTGATCATGTGAAGAACTGGATCGGTATTCTAATACAGTTCACCACGTAACCCTGCTGACACTTACATTACCGTGATGGAGGAGGAAGTTATGAATCAGAAAGAAGAGGTAGGAAGTCATGGAAGTTCTTCTGTCCATGTACTTATCTTGTCCTTACTGTAAGATAGAATACATCAGTTTCATCAACTTTCACCAATGTTTCATTGAGTGAACCCATAGAGAACATGAATGCACACAATTAGGACTATTCTGTTAATTCTGCAAGCCTTCGTAACTTGATTTTTTTTCAATCCTGTGTCCGGCTGCATAAATATAGTGGATTAAGGCTTATCATACACAAAACTGTTCTGAAGAATCAAGGTGTTTTAGCAGAATTTCCCAGCAACCAGAACTGTGCAGAAGAGTCAAGTTAAGATATGGTTAAATATTTTTGCCAACCTTTAATGAAAAACACTGTTGTAAAACTTACAACAGCTAAGAAACATAAACATATATTCAAGTCAATGAAAACTAATTAGATAAGCTCTCTGACATCAAATTCAATTTGATTTGATTATATATCCAGAAAGGAAGCTTCATGTTTATGAAAGCTAGATTTCCAGTAACATAGTAATGAATTGCAGCACATCTTTGCCAGTGCTTTTTGACCCAGTGAAACATAAAAGATTTTTCATTTTGTTTATTCTATAACAAATGGCTGCATGTGTGTGATAACACTGTAATAAACAACGTTGACTTGTGGAATGTTAATGAAAAATCTCATCCAGAAAGTGTGTTTATTTCAAGCAAAGCAGAAGTATTCATAGTTTTGTCTTTGGGGTGATATACAGATACTTTTACTGTAGAAATGTAGGCCTGATCCCCTTAGACCTTCAGTCACAGAACTCAGTAGCAGTCAATACTTCGGACCTTACCTACTGTACTCAGTGAAAAGCTTTCTTCTTATTATTTTGTTTCTATTACTGACATAAATAGGGGCCCTAGTCAGGAACAAGGAATTTGCTGTACAATGGGCTATACAAATAAAAAGAGAAAAGATGGTTCTTCACCGACGGGTCCTATAGTCCAAGTATAAAATAGGTTGGACAGAGGTAGACAGTTTAGTATTAAAAAACCCACGACAATATTGGCTAGTATGATAGATAGTGATTTCAGTGTATCAGTGACTGAAGCACTGTTGAGTTTTGGTAAGCATCATGGAAAAAGGTAGTTTTAAGGGAAGAGCTCCGGACAGCTGGCAAAACTGGATCCCAACAGCTTAGACAACTGCTTAGGCAGCTGATGATGTCTGTCGGTAAGCAACACTTAAATCATGGCAAATGTTTATATGTTCTGGCTGGCTTTTTTACTTTTACTACAAATAGAATACAAGGATGAGTCCTCTCAAACTGGCAGAAGCTAACCCATGCTTAAATATACACTAAAAACACCTGAAGGGCAGTTGTGCAGAGTAGCACTTGGGTATTTGACTTTTACCATATCTCATTATGCAGTAATTTTCCAGTGTAGATACATCTTTCAATGAGCATTAGTTGGATTTTATTATACTTTTAAGGCATCAGAAATGAATTACTGCCTTCCATTTAGA